CAAGAGAACAAAAATCCTCTTAAAAACAATGGGTCAGGAGAAAGTGATTGACACTTCCTTTGTCAAAGGTCTTGAAGTGAGTTGCATCGAAGGCAATGATTTTTATCAGCTGCCTAAAGTCTACACACAAGAGGAAATTCCTGCTGGAAAAGAGCACATTCCCACTCAAGAGACCATACATAAATGGAAATATCTAAGAGAGATTAAGTTGCCTGAATGGGCTAGTTGCACAAGATGGCGTATATCAACTTCCGGTTAATTGAGTGTGCGGTTGTAAACTTCCGGTCTACAGTAGAGCGGTAGAGGGAAGAGCGATAGATAGCGTATAGCGTAGCAATAGATATCGAGAGAGATAGCGTATAGATATTATATAGGCACTATTGTACACTCGATGTCTCCAAGACCTACCGAAGGTTAACATCAGTGATGTACATCGGCTGGTACAAGCGGCAGGCTCAGCCCCCAGGAGCAAAAGAGAAAAGGGGTTCAAGATGTAGCTACATATCCAGCTACGTCGACAATTATGAAGGTAAGTGACAAACAAAGCTGTAGTTACTGGCTAACTTTGACAAATTGACAGTCTTGATACAGTGTAAAGCGTTTTAATGATGTACTATTACGTTTTTTTTGATAACATGAATGATATCCAATTCCTCACAGTTTCAAACAAAGATCTACCTTCAGGGAGAGTGAGCGTCAGGGCTAGCTGTTACAGGTCCATGAGAAAGCATGAAAAGCCTCACGATCTCAGAGTAGGGAGGAAAATAAAAAGTGTTTATCGGTTCAAAGCCTCAATCAGGTTCATGTTCTGGGGTTTTGATGTAGCTAGAGTAGGTAACCTGTGATTTAGGATTCAAATAAGCCCAGCTAGCTGACGTGTTGCAACAGATTACATAGTGACAATACATTTGCTAGCTATGTATGTGTAGCATGAAGGGGCTACAGATTTATTTTCGTTTTGTAACCCTCTCGTGTAAAATGATAAATACATTAGCTAAACTCAAACTTAGCTTTCATCAAAGATTCTTAATGAGAGGTTGAAAACCGTCTCTGCTTTCATGGAAACCCCAGAAACTGGTTGTGACGGCTGCTGTTCTTTACTGAATGGTTAGTATAATCCATGTAGGGTCCAATTATTTGTATTGGCCAGTGTTAGGTAAGTGCTATGTTAAGCTGTTCAACGTTCTACTGACACTATTTTATGTAGTTATAATATAAGATAATACATTGAGAGAGCTGAGACAGGCTATACAAGCTTATCTGTTTGAATGTTCTTAAATTACAGTATTCCAAACAACAGAACTTCTGTGTATGTGATGTGACTGACAACCTGACATGGTTTAGCCTTTTCCCACACCTATTACTTGCCTGATCAGCCTGCTCTCAGCTTTCTCATTTGTCTGTGTTGTATTGAAGCAGTGTCCTAAATGTAAAATGACTGACATGTTGTTTTAAGAACTGCTCACCTGTGGAGATTGCAGTGGCAAAGTGTTCCTGTGTAGCTGGAACAGCACTCTGCAACCACAATGTTGCACTGTTGTTCCAGACTGCACACTACTCCACACTCAACCTGGCTGCTGTCCCCCCTGTCCTCAGCTGCACTGAAACAGAGCAGCGATGGCCCAAGCCAAGAACCATGGTAAGTACAGTATGTGTTCACAACCAATCCACGGTTTAATGAGTATTTCCTTTGTGCCAAGAGCTGATCTAGTATGTTGCAACAACAACCTTTTCAATTAATTTGACAATTCTTTTGTGTAATGAATAGGGTGTGAAACCAGGCAGAGTGAGTGACATGGTGTTCACTTCCACTAAGCCAAAGCAGTTTACAGTTGCTGACGGTGTAAGGTCATATCTATTGTCCTAAGTAATTGTATGTAGCCTGCTACAACTTTGTGATTGTTGTCTGAGTGTAAAATGTTTCTGAAAGTCCTAATTATCATATAAACATGTTCAAAGGAGTACACGTTACAAGGCCGTGCGAGGGGAGCTGCCAGACCCAGATGTCCTCAAAGTCAGCGAGGCATACAAGGACTTCTCAGCAGACATCGCACCACGAAAACAAAACGAATGGCTCACTACTCAACTCAACGACTAACCCTCTTTCAGAGGATATGTTGGAAATGCACACATTATATATATTTGTTGCATCTACTTTCTGGATATTGTACATCTGTTCATCTGTTATATAAACTAGCATTACTTAAATATGCAGAGACTAATTGAAATGTTTAAATATGTATTTTCCCCCCCGATATAACATCAACCTATGTTTTGTAAAAGTTTATTAAATTAATCTGTAAAATGTTATCATATTGTGGATTTATTCAATTATGTATTTTCCTTTGTTATTTATGTGTGCGTTTGTTTTGAGGATATCATTCATTAGTACCTAAACATAGTAGGCTATGGTATAACTGCTTTTTAAAATGAAATATCCCCCCGATATAACATCAACCTACGGAGCCCCCTAGGGGACATGGAGAAGAAAAAAATAAATAATTTGAACAAAAAATAAATAAATGTTTTGCGAGATCTCGCAAAAACCCTTTGCGAGATCTCGCAAAACCCCTCTGCGAGATCTCGCAAAGCTTTTCATTTAGGTCAATGTACTTCCGGGTCAGTTCAGCGACACAGAAACCACAACAATGGAGCAGTTAATCGATTTTTACTTTGAGCTTGGCCTAAAATATAAAGACATAACATCAGTGCTTGGCAATAGGCACAGGTTTATCATAAGTGAAAGACACCTCAAGAGGATACTCAGAGCGAGGGGACATTCACGTCAACATGCATACTCTGAGCTTGCGGTCCTGGTGGATTTCATTCGCAATCAGTTACAGTACTCTGGGCAGCTTCATGGGTACCGCTGGATGTACGCAAAATGCACAGTGCATGGACTGCGTGTGAGGAAGGAGGATGTGCGCTTGGTACTGAAGGAGCTGGATCCCGGAGGAGTGGCATTAAGGCAAGCAGGACGACTCAGACGAAGGCGTTACTTCTCCAAAGGGCCAAACTTCATCTGGCACCTGGATTCCTATGATAAACTGAAGCCATATGGCATTTGTATAAATGGATGTATCGATGGGTATTCAAGAAAAATGATCTGGCTTAATGCCTACACAACAAGTTGATTGGGGGATATTACATGGAAGCAGTGCAGCGTTTATGGGGCTGCCCTAGACTGGTGAGAGGCGATCTTGGAACAGGAAATGGCTATGTTCGAGGCATTCAGCGTTTCCTCGTACCTACTCGCCCAGATGGCAACCATGAAAGCTACTTGGAGGGAGCCAGCACCGCCAATCAACAAATCGAATATTGGTGGGGTTTTCTTCGCAGAGAGTGCGCAGAGTTTTGGTTGTGCTTCTTTGGAGACCTCAGAGACAATGGGCATTTTGATGGTGGATTTCTGGACAAAAGCCTCCTTCAATTTTGTTGCATGGGACTCATCCAGGTGAGTTAATACATTGTGTGTATGCGCTGTGCGTGTGAGTTCAGATGGAGAGAGGAGAGAAAAAGTAAGAGACAGAAAGAGAGGAGAGTGTGAAGGAGACAGAGAGGAGAGTGTGAAGGACACAGACGGAGGGTGGGGTTTGTGGTTATGTGTGAATGCCATAATGTTGTTCTCTATTTAAGTTGATGCGTATGTACAGTTCTTACTAAATGTATTAATACATTATTTTTTACAGGATGAGTTGGATGACACTGCACAGGTTTGGAATGCGCACACCATCAGGCCGTCGAGAAACCTCAACGTCCCCAGCGGTCGGCCAAATGTGATGTATGCTGTGCCTGACCTTTACCGGACAAGAGACTACCTTTCCCCTGTTGAAGACGAACACGTTCAACTGTGCAAAAATGAATGTGTCTTTCGGCTGGCCATACCATGTGATCCAGATGTGTACGAACTATGCCACATCTTTATGGGCGAGTCCCATCTGACTCCACCAACAGACCCATATCAGGCTGTGAACTTGTATATGCACCTAAGAGAGGCCATCAGTGCATCTCCCTAAATCAGTACAAAATTCACTCACCTGCAGTGCGCCTCCCCCACTTACAGGATGGACACTCCCCTGCAGTGCACCTCCTTGTCCCAACTGCATTTTGTAGACAATTAAATGTCCATATTTCCTTTTACAAACATATACACCGTGACATTGGAACTCACCATCACCGCCCTGCTTGTTTGTTTCTCGGAGTATATAGCTCTTATGCCTGTAGTTTATTTCACAAAGTAGTAATGCTACTCACTGCATTTGCTTGATGAACTTAGGTCATGTGTGTGCATAGTTCATATAATTAATTTGAAATGTAATCTTTAAGTTGACTAATTATTTAGAATATGTCAGTAAAGTCTAAGCTGTTGAATATTTTAGATTCTGTAGACACCAGTCCTGTTAAGGTGTTATGAACTGTAAGATGACTCAAATACTGCCTCGTCAACATCACTCCCCCCTTTTATATACATGTGATGGCATGACCCTGTCCTCACTGTGCAGCTCCTTCAGTGACCGGCTCTCGGAGAGAGAGAGCAGCGGTCAGACTATATAACCAGCACAGCCCCTAGACCGCCCCACACACAATCACACAGACTAACACCCCCTGTTGTTAAATACCAACCAACTATGTGCAATATATATATATATATATATGCCGTTAATAACTGTGCAATATATACCTGGCTGCTAAATCCTCAGAACTGTTACAGGATGTGTATTTTGTAAATTGTCTAACTTTTTTTAATTATAATTTGTTTATCTTTAATACTTTTGTATGCATGCTTCTTAGGTAACATTAAGCTGTCTTTGGCTCTTTTCTGCTGTAACAATGTAAATGTCCCCTCTGTTGAACTAATAAAGGTATTCTGATTCTGATGTGTTTTCGAACTGTGAAACAAAAATAGTCTGTGTGAAAATGTATAGGACTTTACTAATGCTAGAACCAAGTAGTACGAACATCAAGTTACATGTAATTCACAGAAAATACAGTGATGCCTGTGTTGCCAAGCACTTTAATGTCAGAAAGGGGTAGAAAATAACAGCACAAGCTGATCTTTTAACAGTGTGGAAATATTAATAATAATGTTGTATTGTTATCTAGTGTGAAATCCTGGCCTGCAACCTGATTACATTTAAAATGTGCCTAATCAGTTTGGTTTGTCAATATATTAAGACCAATTGAGAAATAAAACATTGCACATTATGTATAAGTCACTTCATATGCACACGATTTCTGTTTCTTAAAAAAATAGCATTGAGTTATAATTCGGTACCATGGTAAGTTGGCAGTAAATGAAAGTGATATGTTGGTAATATCATGTATATATCACGGCCAATTGTGCATATTAGGGCTTGTAATTAGAGGCTAGTCTTTTCAGGCCACATTTCACACTTTCAACATCAGCTTTTTGCAAACAGGATCTAACATAACTATTTTCCACATTACATTTCAAACATTGTTTTTCCGAGAGTTATCAAAAAGGACTGACTCTTTAACACCATAACATCAACAATTCGACCAGTGACGGACAACACCGTTTAGCTTTCTTAGTTGCAAAAAAAAACACACAATATTAATCTCAGCCTCTAAACTGGGTTAGGATCAAACTGACAAAAATGAAAACTGCAGTCATTCTCAAAGCGTATAAAAAAAAAGGTAATATCCTTGTTAAAGCAGAAAATAGAATTGCAGACTGCTCATTACACGGTTCAGTGCATCAGTTGTTTCAATGACAAAACAAACAACAAAAATATCAAATCAAAATAATATTCCAAACTGTTACTATTAGGCCTGATAACGACTGCTCTCAAGTTCAAAGAATATCCATTTCAAAGTAGTTGCTGGACAGGATATTGTCAAATTCCGTGCGAAATTCAGGGAAAGAGCTGTAGGTACACGGTATTTCAAGGGTAGCTCCACAGGTATGAGCAACAGGCCTTCTGCTGAGCCCAGTTTCAGCATTAAAGCACACCCCAATTCTGTCAACACATATGACAGAAGAACCAGTGCAGAAACGCAGGATTTTTTCAGCTTTGGCTTGGTCAGCATTTTTCACATATCGTTGGAGATGGTTGAAAGTTGTCTGTTCTCTCTGAGACAGCACCACGTTGGTTGTTTCAAACAGTTGGGACACTCTTCTGCCTGTGGCTTTCTTATTCTCATACAGAGACAACACACTGTCCTTGTCTGGCAGTTGCAACTGTACAAGTGACATGGGTGTCAAGAAGCAATCGACGATATACTTTGGCTCTTGGAGAATGGCTTTATGAGCCATTGTTTCTATGGCAGGCTCCATGTTGTTCTTTGCAGGTAGGAAATGGGAACCCATCCTTGTGAAAAGGTCGAGCAAGTCCTCATCATCACTCTCCTCCATTGTGCCCTGGAGAGCCTTCTCCACAGCTGATCTCTCAACAGGAGAGAGGTAGTTGAGAAACGATGTCATCAGGATGTCTACATCAACGGAGTGGACTCCATGAATGCAGGCTACAATGAAAGCCTTTGATAGCCTCACTGGCATGACACCATGGTCCAGTAATCTTTTCACCCAGATCCGTCCAACTGCTTGCCATTCAGCCTCACAGAAATCTGGCCTCAGCCTTGGAACTCGCTCTGCTTCCCCTTCACACGTTTCAAGAAATTGCTCCCAGAATGCAGTGTAAACCTCCCTTGATACTCCATTATCATCAATAGCTTTTTCATTTACAAAGTCCATCTTTAGAGTCAAATGTATTATGCTACTGTCCATAAATACAGCCAAAAGATCTTCAACAACCTTTGTCCTGTGAATTGATGCACGTCGCGTGCTCTCTGGATTTCCTGAGCCGTGAGCTGAGGTTGATGGGGATAGTTGGCTGCTCGAATTTAAAAGCAAATCCTGTAGTAGAAGAACGAAACATACAAACACACACAACAAGATTGGTCAATGAATGATGCAGAGGCCAAAATGTCCTAATTGTTTAAATGTTGAGTATGAATCAAGGTCCATATAATATTGGATTCTATGTTTTTCCCATAATGCAACTCAAAAGCTATTTTTTACAAGACCTTTTTTCCAACTCCACCACACCTCCAGTTTGTAACACAGACTTTCGATTTGTTGTCTTCAATTCAAAGCCGAGGTAACACTGACAACTTCAGTATGACATCATCAAAGTTACTTATTTTATACCTGACCGAGCTCCTCCAGAGCTCTCAGGACAGTATACAAATGTTTTACAGGCCACAGTTATGTGAAATGTTACAAGAGCGGTAGTTTAAAGGATGTGTTCAGGGTTTCTTGCAGTGATGCATCTTACCTGTGATGTTTGCACTGTATCCTCGTGTATGGACACATGTGCCGAAGGCAGGCCAAAATCAGAGGGCAAGGGGAGTTGTAAATCCTGCATTGGTACTCCATTCATCTCCGCACTCTGAAGGATGAATTAAGTATGTTATTCATTGACAGCAGACACTTTGAAGTCTTAGACGTTATTGCAGACCGTAATTTACAAAAGTATTTCCGTAATAGTCTTCAACATCATCTTCTATTTAAAACCAGAAATACTCTGTAAAAATGACACTTGGAAAAAAGAAATGGAAAAAGACAAACCTTCAATTTCAGAGACAGAGTATAATAAAGTCACAAATCAGTGTTTATAAAAACTACTGCACAATCACAAGTCAAAAGGACTCTGTTGCTTTCCACTTCTACTGCAGCTTGCTAAATAACACCATTTATTTGAATACAAGTTGTGCATGACTTTGCTATACGACTATACACAACAAATGGTAGTTTGATATAGAAATTATCGTAAAAAAGGAGAATTGTGAAGTTGTGCATGCCACCATGTATGGCTTATGAGTGCAAAATTAAAATCTTTGTGGAATTCCACAGGTTTTCATCAGGTCTTGTTTGGTTTGTTGAAATGTGAAAGGTTTTAAAGCAGCATAAACTATTAAATGTTAACCAATTTGCTATGGCAAAATGAAGCTCTAAATATACATGGGGTGAGATAATATTTCATTAAGTACAGTAAGCGTTTCACAGCACTGTAGGTTATTTCATTCGTGTGTCCAAAGAAGAATCGGGGAACAGAATACATGCCATAAAAATAAAAGGACATGGTACATTTTTTTCAAAGTAGGAATGCACATTTGAGTTTTTTTATTAATTGAATCGAATTTACTGACTATTGAAATCTAACAAAAACTACAGTATGTAATTGATTAAATTGAAGTAGCAATACATTTCTCAATCTTTTCTGTGTTTACTGGTTTGGTTTTAATACATATATTTGCATTTCTACCCCCTTACCCAAAAACGTTCCTGATCACATTACCTGAGTGACATCCTCATGTGTGACGTCATTCCATTTGATCACAACTATCTCATCACCACCTGCTCCCCAAAGATCATCTTCCGGATCCCATAAAAGTGTATCTGCCTCGTCTGTTGGGGTTGAATGGGAGCGATGTGATTGTCTTGGACCTTCTGCTGTCACAGTGTCAGAGGTTGATCTTTGTTTTTTTGATCTTGGTTGTATCTGGAAATGCAACAAAAAACAACTTTTGTTGTCAGCAGTAATTTGTAATAATGGCAGGGAGAAAAACATGTTTCACAATTAATATCAAATGGTGTGCAAAAAAATACATACGACTACACATTAGCCTATTAAGCATAAAGGTACTGTACAATAACTTTGAGATATTCTTCAATCTTCCCTCAGAGTCTCAAAGATAAGTGATGTGTTTCAAAGCATTACAAATAAAAGTATGAAATTGCAAAAAAATATGCAACACAAAGAAAGGAATGCGTCTGACCACACATGTCAACAACAAAGTCCTGGTAAAATTGAAACATACAGAGGTGAAGGTATGTTGGTAACGCCTTGGACAAAAGTGTGTGCTAAATAGGCCTACCATAACTATAGCTATGTAGAAAGTTGCTGACAAACTGTGGTGACTGATGGCACACAATGGAACCTTTCTGTTTTATGAAATCCATGTACATCATTTTTTTATTTAGTTATTACCTGAAGTTTAATATTCAAGCACTATCTCTTTCCATCTGTCCCTGTCATTAAAGTTACTTTATATTTCCTACTGCCACAAACCTGATCGCTATTGTCGCTGTCAGATGAATATCCACGCTCCGGCAGATCTGTAATCAATTCATCTGCATCAACAGATCCATGTGCGTCTGCTCCCTCAGTGATGTCAACAGATGAATCTACAGATAAGGAATCTTCACTAACTGTTTTTACCTCAGATGGGGATTGATCTGTTGGGTGGGCTTCTTCTTTTGTGGATATGTAAAATCTAAGCAGCTTCAGTTTGGTTTGTTCATAAAGTCTGCCAACAGTGTCATCTGAAGGGATCTGGTTTCTTTTAAAATCACAGACTTCAAAGGTAAAGTCTTCAACTCGCCCTTTTGTTGAGTGGCCATTTGGGAAGAATAGCTTCTTTCCCATTTCCAAAAGCTGAGCTGTTGTTTTTTCCACCAATGCATGTCTTGTTCCCCCGCCATTGCAGGTCCTCACTTGTTGGTATTCCTTATTGTGAAAATGAAGCCATCCTATTTCAATCTTCCTGGTAGTCTTTTCTGCTGCATTATTTCTTTGTCTTGACATCCCTTCACCTTCTTTTTGAAACACACCTGATGCACCACACAATGCTCCTTTTGTTTTTGATTTACTTTTCCGTGCTCCTATTTTATCTCTTAATGTCTGTAGAAGAGTCTCTTTATCTGTGCTGCACTTTGTTTGTTGACAGAAGGTGAGGACAGCTACTCGGTCACCGTATGAAGTGATATACTTTGCCATTTGTTCATCATTCATGATGGTTAGCACTGCCTTGTCAACCTGAAAAAATAAAATAGCTAATACATTACCAAAAACCATTCTTATTTGTACCACAAATAACGCATTTTTAGCTAGGTAGCAAGCTAGTTACTACACAGTACTAACGTCACCCTACCTAACACTTAACTTGTAAACAAACAGCGCTTATCAAATTCAGAAGTCAGCATTAAACTTTTTACAGAAGGATTTTTTTAAGCTGCACGGTACATGATGAGAAAAACACACAGTTTACTGTGTCACTCACGTTCGTATTAAAACTGCCATGCTACCTCCATATTACTTATAAAGTGTTTGACTTTTCCAGGCTCTGTGTTGTTACGGTAACTTATTCCGTGAATTGACTGAATGTTCTACCCACCTTGTCACTTTGCATTTTTATGATGTTCTCTTGTGGGACCTCTCTCGAGCGAAGAAACCTTTCCAAATCCTCCTCCATGACTCTTTCATCTGTTACAAGCTGCCCCAGAGTACTGTAGGTTGCCGAACTGAACCGGCTGGAAGTACATTGCGCTAAACGAACATTTTAGCGGGATCTCGCAAAGGGGTTTTGCGAGATCTCGCAAAGGTTTTGCGATATCTCGCAAAACATTTATTTATTTTTTTGTTCAGAATTTTTTGGTTTTCTTCTCCATGTCTCCTAGGGGGCTCCGTATCAACCTATGTTTTGTAAAAGTTTATTAAATGAATCTGTAAAATGTTATGATATTGTGGATTTATTCAATTATATATGTTCCTTTGTTATTTATGTGTGCGTTTGTTTTGAGGATATAATTCATTAGTACCTAAACATAGTAGGCTATGGTATAACTGCTTTTTGTAATGAAATACACAATTGGTTTGGGAGCAAGAAATCTTTTAATCGTTGTTGCCCAGGCTTGCCGAAATGAATGGAAACTTATCTCCCGATTATAACATTGTGTAACTTGCTGCTGTTAAATACCGTCAAACTATGTGCAATATGTGCTTTATGTGCAATATATACTTTATATACATATGCCATCTTTAATAACTGTAATATATACCGGGCTGTTAAATCCTAAGAACTGCTACAGGATTTGATTTGTTTTTGATCTGTATTTTTGAAAATTATGTAACTTTTTATCTTTTTTTTAGCATATTGTTTATTATATTATAACTTAGTACTTTTTAACGATATTCAACACTAAGCTGTCTGTGGCTCTTTCCTGCTTCAACGCTGCAAATGTCCCCTCTGTGGGAATAATAAAGGTATTCTGATTCTGATAACGGGACAAATTTGTCCAAAGGGGCACACAGCAATGTAGTGCCGACTTTCTTACACGCTGGAAGGCCAATCACTTTTCTTTACCCCGAAATCCACTCATTCTTGCTCTCGGTGTGACATAACTGTCAAACTGTCAAGCTGTCAAAACTCTGTACTCAAACCGGAAGTTGATAGACGCCATATTGTGCACAGAGCCTATTGGATTGTGAAATCGATTGCTTATAGGAACAAATGCACCAAAGCTAATGGAGCCGTGGAAAATAATAAACAGTCAAAATGGAGGACCCTTTGCTGTTAAGACAGTCCTAGGTTGGGTTGTGAATGGTCTGAATCAGGAAACCACTGAATCTGAGAATACTTCATGTGCTGTTGTTAATCGGATATCAGTGACAGATTTAGGTGAGCTGCTGGTGCAGCAATACAATCATGACTTTCCAGAGAAAGGTTGTCATGAGAACAAAGAGATGTCAGGTGAAGACAAACCATTTTTTAAAGATCATGTCAGATTCAGCTCAAATCAAAGATGGACATTATCAGCTTGAACTTCCATTCAAACAGAAGAATATCATGATGCCAAACAATCGTAAACTTGCAGAGCAGAGAGCAGAATCATTAAAAAGGAAATTCAAAAGGAACAAAGTTTTCCATGATGAATATAAAACATTCTTAGAGGCTGTGATAGTAAAAGGTCACGCTCAGCCACTGCCCCAAGAGCAGCTCAAACCAGACTGTAAAGGTGTGGTACATACCCCATCATGGGGTTCATCACTCAAAGAAGGGCAAGATTTGTGTAGTGTTCGATTGTTCCGCATCTTATCAAGGATATTCATTAAATGACGAGCTTATTCAGGGTCCCAATCTTCCCAACACGCTACTTGGTGTGCTCATTCGATTCAGACAAGAACAGATAGCTTTCATGGCTGATGTGGAGGGGATGTACCATCAGGTCAAGATGGCTCCTGCCGATCAAGATTATTTTTGCTTTCTTTGGTGGCCAGGAGGAGATGTCAGTTTACCTCTTGCTGAGTACAGGATGACAGTACATCTATTTGGTGCCACTTCATCAGCAAGTTGTGCAACCTATGCTCTCACTAAAACCACTGAAGACAACAAAGATGATTTCTCTGCAGAAGCTGTTGACACTGTCGGAAGACATTTCTATGTTGATGACTGCTTAAAATCTGTCGCTTCTGCTGATCAAGCTGTGAAGTTATGTGAAGAACTCAAGGATCTTTGTGCAAAAGGAGGTTTTAATCTGACAAAGTGGACAAGCAACAGTAAAACTGTGCTGGCATCCATCCTACAGAGTGAAAAACCCAAATCGGGACTTAGAGACCCAAGACAATATTCCAATAGAAAGAGCCCTAGGGATACAGTGGCATGTGGAGGAAGATGTTTTCAAGTTTCAAGTCTGCTTAAAATCTCAACCAGCCACAAGGAGAGGCATCCTTTCAACAGTCTGCTCTGTGTATGGCCCACTTGGATTTCTTTCACCATTTATCTTCACTGCAAAGCATGTCCTACAAAAGTTGTGCAAACTCAATTGTGGGTGGGACGAAGACATCCCAGAGGCTCTCAAGAAACAGTGGCAAAGATGGCTCATGGGATTAAAGCAGATAGAAAGCTTCAAGATTGATCGATGTATCAAACCAAAGAATTATGGACAAATTAAATCTGCACAATTGCACCATTTCAGTGATGCAAGCGAGATTGTATACGGTGTTGTCACTTACCTTAAGATGACAAATGAAGATGAAGACATTCACATACAGTGGGGCAAACAAGTATTTAGTCAGCCACCAATTGTGCAAGTTATCCCACTTAAAAAGATGAGAGGCCTGTAATTTTCATCCTAGGTATACCTCAACTATGAGACAGAATGAGAAAAAAAAAAATCCAGAAAATCACATTGTCTGATTTTTAAAGAATTTATTTGCACATTTCGGTGGAAAATAAGTATTTGGTCAATAACAAAAGTTCATCTCAATACTTTGTTATATACCCTTTGTTGGCAATGACAGAGGTCAAACGTTTTCTGTAAGTCTTCACAAGATTTTCACACACTGTTGCTGGTATTTTGGCCCATTCCTCCATGCAGATCTCCTCTAGAGCAGTGATGTTTTGGGGCTGTCGCTGGGTAACACAGACTTTCAACTCCCTCCAAAGATTTTCTATGGGGTTGAGATCTGGAGACTGGCTTGGCCACTCCAGGACCTTGAAATGCTTCTTACGAAGCCACTCCTTTGTTGCCCGGGTGGTGTGTTTGGGATCATTGTCATGCTGAAAGACCCAGCCACGTTTCATCTGCAATGCCCTTGCTGATGGAAGGAGGTTGTCACTCAAAATCTCACGATACATGGCCCCATTCATTCTTTCCTTTACACGGATCAGTCGTCCTGGTCCCTTTGCAGAAAAACAGCCCCAAAGCATGATGTTTCCACCCCCATGTTTTACAGTAGGTATGGTGTTCTTTGGATGCAACTCAGCATTCTTTCTCCTCCAAACACGTCTAGTTGAGTTTTTACCAAAAAGTTCTATTTTGGTTTCATCTGACCATATGACATTCTCCCAATCCTCTTCTGGATCATCTAAATGCTCTCTAGCTAACTTCAGACGGGCCTGGACATGTACTGGCTTAAGCAGGGGGACACGTCTGGCACTGCAGGATTTGAGTCCCTGGCGGCGTAGTGTGTTACTGATGGTAGCCTTTGTTACTTTGGTCCCAGCTCTCTGCAGGTCATTGACTAGGTCCCCCCGTGTGGTTCTGGGATTTTTGCTCTCCGTTCTTGTGATAATTTTGACCCCACGGCGTGAGATCTTGCGTGGAGCCCCAGATCGAGGGAGATTATCAGTGGTCTTGTATGTCTTCCATTTTCTAATAATTGCTCCCACAGTTGATTTATTCACACCAAGCTGCTTACCTATTGCAGATGCAGTCTTCCCAGCCTGGTGCAGGTCTACAATTTTGTTTCTGGTGTCCTTTGACAGCTCTTTGGTCTTGACCATAGTGGAGTTTGTAGTGTGACTGTTTGAGGTTGTGGACAGGTGTCTTTTATACTGATAACGAGTTCAAACAAGTGCCATTAATACAGTTAACAAGTGGAGGACAGAGGAGGCTCTTAAAGAAGAAGTTACAGGTCTGCGAGAGCCAGAAATCTTGTTTGTTTGTAGGTGACCAAATACTTATTTTACCGAGGAATTTACCAATTAATTCATTAAAAATCCTACAATGTGATTTCCTGGATTCTTTCCCCCCATTCTGTCTCTCATATTTGAAGTGTACCTCGGATGAAAATTACAGGCCTCTCTCATCTTTTTAAGTGGGAGAACTTGCACAATTGGTGGCTGACTAAATACTTTTTTGCCCCACTGTATCCTTCATGTCAGGAAAGTCACGTGTCGTGCCTCTGAAAAAAGTCACTGTCCCAAGATTGGAGCTCACAGCAGCAGTACTGGCAGTACGCATGGACAAGATGATCAGAACCGAGCTGCAAATCCCATTATGCAAATCTGTCTTCTGGACTGACAGTACATCTGTTCTGAGATACATCATGGATGAAACGCTAAGGTTTCAGACATTTGTAGCCAACAGAATAAGTCTGATCAGAGAAGCAACAGCAACATCACAGTGGAAATACATCAACACTAAACTGAATCCAGCAGATGATGCATCTCGGGGATTGGCAGAAGAATCGTTCTTGAAATGTGAGACTTGGATAAATTGTTTCTGAAAAAACCTGAGGACAAATGGCCTGAGTTTCCGGACGCACTTAAACTGGTCAATGACAGCTATCCTGATGATCCAGAGGTGAAGAAGGACAAATTCAACGTGAACCCAACCATTGCAACTGACCTAAAT